CAAACCAGTACAAACCAGTTCATCCCATTAGCCCCAAACCCCCTCCCAGTCCATTCCAGTTCATCCCAGTAAGCCCCCAGTAAGCCCCCAGTTAGTCCCAGTTCAAACCAGTATAAACCACTAAGTGCCCATTAATAGGTTTCTATGGTGGTGCTGCCCCCAGTGGTCACTGAGGGAACTGCAGCCATTAAAACACCAAACCAGTACAAACCAGTTCACCCCAGTTCATCCCAGTAACCCCAAACCCCCTCCCAGTCCCTCCCATCCCCCTCCCAGTCCAAACCAGTCCAAACCAGTACCCACCAGTTGCCGGGGCAGCCCCCAGCCGCAGACGGCGCACTCGCAGCGCAGGCGCCTGCGCAGGGCAGCCCTGTCCGGGCAGGACCCCACGGCCTCCACCAGTTCAACCAGTAAGGGCTCCTTACTGGGAGCCTCCAGCAGCCCCAGGCCCAGTTCCCGGCCCAAACTGGCCACCAGTAAAGCCCGGCCCCAGCTGGCCACGGGGAAAGTGGCCAAGATCTGACGGACGAGGGCCTGGACCAGTATGAACCAGTATAGACCAGTATAAACCAGTAACAAAAAATTGAAACCAGTAAGGAGAAACACGAAACCAGCATGGCCCTCCCATCCCCCTCCCACTCCCAGTAAGCCCAAATTCACTCCCAGTTCATCCCAGTAACCAAACCAGTATAAACCAGTATAAACCAGTAAAAGAAAACGTGAAACCAGTAAGGAGAAACATGAAACCAGTACAAACCAGTAACTCCATATCCCATCCCAGTTCATCCCAGTAACCCCAAACCCCCTCCCAGTTCATCCCAGTATGAACCAGTAACTCCAAACCCTCTCCCAGTCCCTCCCAGTACAAACCAGTATAAACCAGTTATCCCAAAAGCCCCCCCAAGTCCCTCCCAGTTCCCTCCCAGTACAAACCAGTAACCCCCAAACCCCATCCCAGTCCCTCCCAGTATAACCCAGTCACCTGCTGGTCGGGCTGATTGAAGTCCAGCCCTGGCTCCGCCCCCTGCTGCTGACGTAAGCGGAAGGGGCGGAGCCTGAGCCGCTGCAGCTCGCACAGCGCCCCCCAGTGGCTGCCCCGCTGCCGCTGCAGCGCCGCCGCCGCGGGGGCGGGGTCGGGGAAACCGAGGCTGGCCAGGAGGCGGAGCTGCACCAGTGGAAACCAGTTTGGTCCAGTTTGGACCAGTATGGACCAGTACAAACCGGTATGGACCGGTTTGCACCAGTAAAAACCAGTAAAGTGCACCAAATTCCCCATTTTTGGTCAAAATCTGCCTAATTTGCATATTTTTGGACCAGTTTGGACCAGTACAAACCAGTATAAACCAGTAAAATTCACCAAATTCCCCATTTTTAGGCCAAAATCTGCCTAATTTGCATATTTTTGGACCAGTATAAACCAGTCTGGACCAATATAAACCAGTAAAATGCACCAACATTTCCATTTTTTAGACCAAAATTTGTTTAGTTTAGACCAGTTCAAACCAGTACAAACCAGTATAAACCAGTAGAAACCAGTTTGAACCAGTTTAGACCAGTTTGGACCAGTTTGGACCGGTACAAACCAGTATAAACCAGTAAAATTCACCAAATTCCCCATTTTTAGGCCAAAATCTGCCTAATTTGCATATTTTTGGACCAGTATAAACCAGTCTGGACCAATATAAACCAGTAAAATGCACCAACATTTCCATTTTTTAGACCAAAATTTGTTTAGTTTAGACCAGTTCAAACCAGTACAAACCAGTCTGAACCAGTACAAACCAGTTTGGACCAGTACAAACCAGTATAAACCAGTAAAATTCACCAAATTCCCCATTTTTAGGCCAAAATCTGCCTAATTTGCATATTTTTGGACCAGTATAAACCAGTAAAATTCACCAAATTCCCCTTTTTTTAGGTCAAAATCTGCTTAATTTGCATATTTTTGGACCAGTTTGAACCAGTTTGAACCAGTATGGACCAGTATAAACCAGTATAAACCGGTTTGAACCAGTATAAACCAGTTTGGACCAGTATAAACCAGTAAAAATCCCCCAAATCTCCAAATTCCGCCATTTTGCGCTCAAATTTTAGGCCCCACCCCCAAATTCCGCCATTTTGGACCCAATTTCCGCCATTTTGGACAAAAATTTTAAGCCCCTCCTCCAATTTCCGCCATTTTTTACACAAATTTCACAATTTAAGCCTAAATTTTAAGCCCCGCCCACAAATTCCGCCATTTTGGACTCAAATTCTGCCATTTTGCACCCAAATTCTGCCATTTTTAACCCAAACTTTAAGCCCCGCCCACAATCCCCACCCAGCCTCCAAGCCCCGCCCCTTCTCACCTGCTGCTTCCTCCGACCAATCAGAGCGCGGCGCGCGCGGTCCGGCTGCCCCTCCCCCTCCAGCCACGCCCAGGCTGCTTCGTCCAATGAGAACGGCCCCAGGGAGGCCCCGCCCTCTTTTCCGTCAGGCTCCGCCCCCAGGAGGGCCTTGAGGACCCCCCCGAGGCGGCTCCGGAAGTGCCGGATTTGGGATTCGGGGCTGGGGGCGGGGCCGGAAGGTTCCGGAAGTTGGGAAAAGGGGGCGGGGCCGAGGGATTCTGGGGGGAGGCCTTGGGATTCGGCGGCCTGGGGGGAGGGGAGAGAAAATTCCGGAAAAAATCCCAAAATTGGGCAAAATTTTCCCTAAAAATCCCAAATGTGTTGAAATTTTTCACGACATTGTCCAAATTTATAAATATTTCTGTAAAAATGCCCGAATTTCCCAAAATTTAAGAAAAATCCCCGAATTTATGAGATTTAAAAAATCTTCATTTTTAAGAAATTTTCCCAAAAATTTCCTCAAATCCCTCCCAAAAAATTCCCCAAAATCCCCCAAAATTTTCCAGAAAATTTCCTCAAATCCTTTCCAAAAATTCCCCAAAATCCCCGAAACTTATCCCAAAAATTTTCTCAAATCCTTCTCAAAAAATTCCCCAAAATTTTCCAGAAAATTTCCTCAAATCCTTTCCAAAAATTCCCCAAAATCCCCGAAACTTATCCCAAAAATTTTCTCAAATCCTTCTCAAAAAATTCCCCAAAATTTTCCAGAAAATTTTCTCAAATCCCTCCCAAAAAAATCCCCAAAATTTCCCAAAATTTTCCCAAAAATTTCCCCAAATCCCTCCCAAAAAATTCCCCAAAATCCCCCAAAATTTTCCCAAAAATTTCCCCAAATCTCTCCCAAAATTCCCCCCAAAATCTCTTCAAATCCCACCCAAAATTCCACAAACACTCCCGAAAAATTCCAAATTATCTCCAAACTTCCCCCAAAATTTCCTCAAATCCCCTCAAAATTCTTCAAATTTCATCAAAATTCCACAAATTTTTCAAATTTCCCGAAATTTATCCCCAAAATTGTTCAAAATTCCCAAAATTTTCCCAAAATTTCCCCCAAACTCCTCCTCACCCTCACGAGCTCCACCAGGCGGCGCCCGTCCTCCAGCAGCTTCCTCTGCCGCAAAGCATCACGGGAAGGGGCGGGGCCACCCCCGGAAGTGACCTCACCACACCCGGAAGTGGAATTGCCCACCCCAGCAGTGGGATTTTCAACACCAGAAGTGTCATGGCCGACACCGGAAGTAGAATTCCCGACGCCGGAAGTGGCATTCCCCACACCGGAAGTGCGTTTTGCAACGCTGGGCGGGGCTTTGTCAGCACCGGAAGTGACATCAGCACACCCGGAAGTAGAATTCTCAGAACCGGAAGTTGCTTTGTCCATACCAGCAGTTGTTGTTTCACCGGAAGAGGCGGGGCTAGAACCGGAAGTGGCCGCCCCAAACCCGGAAGTGGCAGAAACACCACTGAGGGTGGGTGGGGCGACTCCGGAAGTGACGTCATCAAAGGGGGCGTGGTCAGAGCCGCACATTTCGCACTTGGGGGCGTGGCCTCGGTTCAGGAAGGTGCAGCGGGGGCAGGGCCACACCTGGGCGGGGGCGGGGCTTGCCTGGGACGCAAAAATTCACAAATTTGACCCAAAATCCCAATTTTTTAACCCAAAATTTTCCCTTTTCGCCACCCAAATTCGATTTTTAAACCACAAAATCCAATTTTTTTCCCTAAAATTTTAATTTTAACACTGAAAATTCCCAATTTTTTCCCAAAATTCCATTTTTTTGCCCCAATTTTCTCTTTTACCCCCCAAAAACTTCCATTTTCTCTGCACAAATTTCAATTTTTTTAACCAAAACCCCTTTTCTTCACCTCAAAAATTTCTTCCAAAAATCTGATTTTTACCTCATAATTCTTTTACATTCCCACAACAAATTCAATTTTTCAGTTACAAATCCAATTTTTCTCCAAATTTCCCATTTTTCCCCCTAAAAATTCCACATTTTCTTTCCAAAATTCCATTTTTTTCTGCAAAAAATCCCCTTTATTCCCCCCAAAAAATCCTGATGTTTTCCCCCAAAAAAATTCCAATTTTTCTCCAAGAAATTCCCAATTTTTACCCCAAAATTTTCCTATTTTTGTCCAAAAAATTCCAATTTTTTTCTCTAATTTCTTTTTTTTTCCTTGCTTAAAATTTCCAATTTTTTCCTCTCATAATCTCATTTTTTTGAGTGAAAACATCCAATTTTTTTTCCAAGAAATTCCAAATTTTTTCCCTAAAAAATTCCAATTTTTTTCTCTAAATTCTTTCTTTTTTCTTCCAATGTTCCAAATTTTTTTTTTAATAATTTCACCTAAAATTTCCTTTTTAAAAAAAAAAATTCCTATTTTTCCTTAAAAAAACTCTAATTCTTGCTTAAAATTCCCAATTTTTTCCTCTCATAATCTATGTCCCCTCAAAATTTCCCCAAAAATTTCCCCCAAAATTCCCAAAAATCCACAAAATTCCCCCAAATCCCTCCAAAAATTCCCCAAATATTTTCCCTAAAATTCCAAAAGAATTCCCCCAAAATTTCTTCAAAATCCTCCCAAAAAATCCCCAAATATTTTCCTTAAAATTCCCCCAAATTTCCCTAAAATTCCAAAAAAATTCCCCCAAAATTTCTTCAAAATCCTCCCAAAAAATCCCCAAATATTTTCCCTAAAATCCCCCCAAATTCCCTTAAAATTCCCCCAAAAATTCTTCAAAATCCTCCCAAAAAATCCCCCCCAAAATTCCCCAAATATCTTCCCTAAAATCCCCCCAAATCCCCAAAAATTCCCCAAAAAATCCCCAAAATTCCTCTCCAAAATTGTCCAAAATTCCCCAATTTTCCCCCAAAAATCCCAAAATCCCCCAAATTCCCCCCAACTCCGCTGCTCCCCCGCGCGTTAGAGCGCCCCCTACCGGCCGGGAGGACCTCGCCCACCGCAGGCAGCGCGTCCGACGCCAGCGGCCACTGGGGGGCGCCAAGCAAAACCAGTTCAGACCAGCTCAGACCAGTTTGGGATGTCCCAGTGCCCTCCCAGTATAAACCAGTATAAACCAGTGCCCTCCCAGTGCTCTCCCGGTCTAAACCAGTTTAAACCAGTTTAAATCAGTTAAAACCAGTATAAACCAGTAACACCTGCTGCCCTCCCAGTACAAACCAGTAATCCCCAGTGCCCTCCCAGTTCCCTCCCAGTATAAACCAGTTTAAACCAGTATAAACCAGTTTAGACCAGTTTGGAACCTCCCAGTTCCCTCCCAGTCTAAACCAGTTCAAACCAGCAAAAACCAGTTCAAACCGGTCTGACTTTGTCTCCTCCCAGTATAAACCAGTATAAACCAGTATGAACCAGTATGAACCAGTCTCACCTCATCCTCTCCCAGTAAGATCTGGGTGAAGAACTGGGGGTTCGGGTGCTGGTTCTGGTGGGGGAGGCTTAGAGGAAGGGGTATGGCTTAGAGGAAGGGGTGTGGCTTGGAGTAGGTGTGGCTTAGAGGAAGGGGTGTGGCTTAGAGAGTAGGTGTGGCTTATAGTACATGAGTGGGGCTTTGAAAAGAATGGGTGTGGCCTAATGGAGTGGGCGTGGCTTAGAGGTATCAGGCAGGGCTTTAAATTGAGTGGGCGTGGCTTGGACGGAGTGGGTGGGGCTTAGCGGTATTGGGCAGGGCTTTAACTTGAGTGGGTGTGGCTTGGACAGAGTGGGTGGGGCTTAGAGTAATTGGGTGGGTGAGGTTTGGGGAATGGGCGTGGCTTAGGATGGGTGGGTGTGGCTTGCGGTAAAGGAGCAGGGCTTTAAAAAGTGTGGGTGGGGTTTAGAGTGAATGGGTGGGGCTTAGAAGTTCACATGCCTTAAAAGGAGTGGGCGTGGCTTAGAGGTACTGGGTGTGGCTTGCAGGAAGTAGGTGTGGCTTAGAGTGGGTGTGGTTTAGAGAGAGGGTGGGGCTTAGCGTGAATGGGTGGAGCTTATAGGAAGTGGGTGGGGCTTACAGTGAGAGAAATTTTTGAAGGAGTGGGAGGGGCTTAGAGGAAGTGGGTGGAGCTTCATGTGGGTGGGTGTGGCTTCAGATGGAGTGGGAGGAGCTTATAGGTAGAGGGTGGGGCATACAGAGAGGGGGCAGGGCTTCAGCATAGTGGGAGGGACTTTGTGGGGGAGTGGGCGTGGCTTTAGGGATGGTGGGAGTGGCTATGGGGCAGGGGGTGTGGCTTAGAGACAGTGGGTGGGGTTACAGAGAGTGGGCGGGGTTTCCTCAGTAAACAAATCAATTTTTTTTTAAAAAAAGGGGATTTTTTGGGGGAAAAAAGAAATTTTTGGGATTGCAAAGTGATTTTTGACATTCCCAGGTGAAGTTTGATGGTGAGAAAAGACAATTTTGGGTCAAAAAAAATCAAATTTTGGGCAAAAAAACCACAAATTTCTTTGGGAAAATGGAAAATTTTCATGGAAAACCAGAATTTTTTTGGGGAATGAAGGTAATTTTGGGAATTTTTTTTGGGATTCTGACTTGGATGTCTCCCAGGGAGGATTTGAAGGCGGGGTTGGAGGGAGATAAAAGAGGATTTTTGGGAAAAAAAAATAGGAACTTTGAGGAAAAAAGGAAAATTTTTGGATTAAAAAATGAGTGTTTTAGGAAAAAATCGGAGTTTTGGAGGGAAATGGGATCTTTTTGAGAAAAAAGGGAATTTTGGGATTTTCAGGTAGCTCTAAGTCAGATTTGGGGTTCTGAGGGAAAATATTTGGGGGAAAAATGCAAATCTGGTGCCAAAAATTGTGATTTTTGGTAGGAAAAAAAGAGATTTTTTGAAAAAAAAAGGGAATTTTTTGGCAGAAAGGGAAATTTGGGATTTCCAGGTGTGCCCAGGTGAATTTTGGGGAGAAAATAAACAGATTTTGGGGGGAAAAAATCAGATTTTAGTAAAAAAACGCACGATTTTTTTAGAAAAAACTTAAAATTTTGGGGGGGGAAGAAGGATTTATTTTGGGGAAAAAAGGAATTTTAGGATTCCCAAGAAAACTTTCAGATTCTCAACTAAATTTTTGGGATACTTCACGATGACAAAAGCTGATTTTTTGGGTCAAAAAATCGGGGTTTTTGGCAAAAAAAAAACGCGGAAAAACGGAATTTCTTTTGGGAAAATGGAATTTTTTTGGGGGAATAAAGGGAATTTTGGGATTTTTTTTGGGAATTCTGACCTGGATGGCTCCCACGGTGGATTTGAAGACGGGGTTGCCAAACCTGACCCCCCTCCAGTGCCGGGGCGGGCGGGGGCTGAGCAGGTTCCGGCCGTACTTTTCCAGAATGTTCAGCGCCGTCCTCAGCTGCTCCAGGCCGCGGGGGAGGCCCTCGGGGTTCTGGGAAAAAGGAAAATTCTGGGATTTAGGGGGAGGCCAAAAAAAATTTGGGGAAAATCGGCGGAAGTTTGGGGAAAATGCGTCGGAAAATGGGGGAAGTGTGGGGTAAAATTGGTAAAAAACGCAGGGGAAAACAATGAAAAAAAACAAAATATCGCCCAAAAAAATCACCTAAAAATGTCTAAAATTCACCCCAAAAAAATCCCCAAAATTCACCAAAAAAATCCCTAAAATTCACCCAAAAAATGACAAAAAGTCACCCAAAATATGCCTAATAATCACCTAAAATTGCCAAATAAATCACCCAAAAAATGCCAAAAAATCACCCAAAAATGCCCAGAAGTCACCCTAAAAATTCCCAATATTCACCCCAAAAATGCCCCTAAAATTCCCCAAAATTCACCCAAAAATGTTCCCAAAAATCCCTATTAAAACCCTTCAAAAATCATCAAGAATCCCTAAAAATCCCCCAAAAAAACATTAAAAAAATTTTTAAAAATCCCCCCCAAAATCAGTAAAAATTCAGCAAAAAAAGCCAAAAAAAGCCCAAAAAATCACCAAAAAAATCTTATTAAAATCTAAATTTAGGGAAATCCCCCAAAATCTGGGGAAAATCGGTGGAAGTTTGGGGAAAATGTGTCAGAAACTGGGGGAAATGTGGGGTAAAATTGGCAAAAATGCAGAAAAAAAACCCCAAAAAATCACACAAAAATCCTCAAAATTCACTGGAAAAATTCCTAAAATTCACCCAAAAAATGCCCAAAATTCACCAAAAAAATTCCTAAAATTCCCCCAAAAATGCCCCAAAAATCACCTAAAAATGTCTGAAAATCACCCAAAAAATGCCAAAAAAATCACAAAAAATTATTTTAGAATCCTCATAAAACTGTCAAAAATAGCCCAGAAAATCCCTAAAAAAAATCCCTAAAAAATCCCAAAGTCTCTAAAAATCACAGAAAAATAGGAAAAAAATCCCCAAAAAATCTCTGAAAAACCACCAAGAAATCATACAAAAAAATCTTCCAAAAGTTCCCAAAAAATCCTGAACAAAATCCCCCAAAAATTTCAGAAAATACAATGAAAATTCCAAAAAATCCCTAAAAAAATCCAATTAAACACCCAAATAAATTTTTAAGCCCAAAAAATCACCAAAAAAATCTCATTAAAATCTATATTTAGGGAAATCCCCAAAAATCTGGGGAAAATGCATCAGAAAATGGGGGAAGGGTGGAATAAAATTGGTAA